CATGCAGCGCAACGAGGAGGCATTGGTGGCCGCTGAACGGTGCAAATCACGGTCTGGCCCTGAAGCGAATAACGCAACACGCAAGACCATGATGACGTGCACCGAACACATATACGACATTGTCAATCGCACAAAGAACAATGTCTTATATTTCAGCATGGCCACCGACGAGCTGTATGCTTGGTTTTTACAACCACAGAAGGGCATTGTGCGCTTCCATGCAGTTAAAATAAGCGAGGAGTCGTTGAAGATATCATCGGAAAAGCTGGCCGAGCACTCAAAGACAGGCGGTGTCAAGGAGAGTCTCTTAGAACGATATATCAATATGGTGCGTGACAACTTAGGGGTGAATTCCGACTCGGTACTGCACGAGGGAGACGGCAGTGGGTGGCGAGCTTCAACGGAGAACTTACTTGATGACTTTAGCAGCGAACGATCTGGATTCCTGCGCATGGTGAACCGAAATCACTTAATGAATTCGTCCAACTACTCCCTTAGCTCGCTATTTAGTCTGGGTTCTGTGGGTGGGTCAGTGGCCAGCCTCCAGGGGTCCACGCGCTCTATAGGTAGTCTTCAGGGCTCCTCGCGCTCGCGTAGGACTCCTTCAGTGTGGCAAGGTCCAAGCTGCCTACACACTCTATTTAACATTCTTATGGCTCCATTTGACGACTTATTGCCCACGGGCGGGGCTGTGTCCAGACAAGGACGAAAGGAATTAATTTTGGTGCTCGACAACGAGCTGTATTTGGTGCCTTTTGCTATTCTGCGCAGTTCGAAAGAGGACGGCGAATATCTATCGGAAAGATGTTCTCTAATAACGGTGCCATCACTGCAATCACTGCGGGTGAAGAGTAAGGCGTTGCGTTCCCGCGAACTAGCTGAGAATTTGAACACCGCCCTCGTAGTCGGTGGTCCACGTATACCGACCACCTTAGTCGAAACATGGGGTTGGTCCGAATCGCCAGCTTCATTGCAGGAAGCTGCAATGGTTGCCGACATGCTGCAAGCCAAAACACTTGCTGGCTGCAATGCCACCAAAGAAGCAGTTATATCCGAACTGCCCACAGCGGAGTGTGTGCACTTTGCGGCCAATCTAAGTTGGAAGTTGAGCGCCGTAGTCTTGAGTCCCGGTGATGTCGTCGACTCACAATCTCAGAAAAGGTTCTACCAGTCGTCGAACGCTGAGATTTCGGCGGGGCAAGACAACGATCCACCAGATCTTTCCGGTGGCAATATGGAGTTGCCACAGTTGTCCGACTTCATACTCTCGTCCTCCGATGTGTTGAACATCAAACTCAACGCAAAATTAGTCGTTTTAAGTTCCTATCATTCAATAGAGCCGATAACCGGGTCAGGAGTGGCAAACTTAGCTGGCAGTTGGCTAGGGGCCGGAGCTGGCGCTGTTCTGATATCACTATGGCCGGTGCCGGAGACTGCTGCCAAAATTTTACTCAGAGCATTTTATTCGGCATTACTGCAAGGGGCCAGAGCCGCAAGGTATGTCCTGTTCAAATATCACCTAGTCCCTACGGTGTTAAGTTCTAGATTTCAAAAATTTATTTTGCATTCTAATATACCTTTCTTTCCTATTTAGAGCACTGGCCGAAGCTATGCAAACGGTTCAGCACACAAAGCACTTCGCCCACCCAGCCAATTGGGCGGGCTTTCTGTTGGTTGGCGGAAATGTACGCCTTTCTAATAAAGTTGCATTAATGGGCCACGCCCTATGTGAACTCATGCGCACTCCGGACAAGTGTCGAGATGCTTTGCGTGTATGTCTTCACCTAGTGGAAAAAAGTCTGCAGCGCATTCATCGGGGACAAAAGAATGCAATGTACACCACACAAAAGAGCATCGAAAACAAGGCCGGACACGTAGCCGGATGGAAGGACCTCCTAATGGCTGTGGGATTCCGCTTTGAACCAGCCGCCAACGGCATACCATCCAGTGTCTTCTTTCCCCAGTCTGACCCCGAAGATCGCTTATCGCAGTGTTCAGCAAGTCTTCAAGCCCTACTAGCCCTAACGCCGTTGACGTTGCAAGCCTTAGCCAAGCTAGTCAGTAGCTCTGATATGGCGGACGACATTATAGCCGTAATACGAAACGTTTTAGCGAAATACCCGCCAAAAGGCAGTCCCGAATCGGAGACGACTATAGAAATTCCTCTTTCGGTGAGATTGTGGCGTGTCGCAGGATGCCACGAACTCCTGGCATCTATGGGCTTCGACTTGACAGAAGTCGGCCAAGATCAAGTCACCCTTCGGACGGGAAAACAGGCCAATCGTAGAATATGTCAATTTGTTTTGCAGGCCCTGTTGGCGCTTTTCGGTAAGTAGTCCTGAGGTGATCCCGTATTTGCCACAACTCACTCGACAACTTTCACTTTCAGATACCCAAGAAGCCCCCAAGAGTTTGGGTCTTGACTCGTCCAGCAGCTGTGAGTCCCTAATTGAAGATACTGTTATCACGGAGGCGGTAACACCCATTGCCACTACAAATCACACGCAATTAACTGCAGCAAGCCATCAACCATTGACGGCAGACACCAGTAAGCAACCTATAAATGTTGGAGTGACCTTGCCTCCGTTGCCCATAAATAGATCGCGCTTGATAAGTACAGGCAGTGGCGCCTTCATATCGTATGTGCGGCGAAGGGGTGAACCCGATGGCGGGAGAACGGACAATGAGTCGATCCCTGTCCCAGGGGCAGCCTGCAGTTCCTCATCTATGTACCCTGCATTGGACTCCAGTCTAAATAACACAACAGACAGTGAGCTATCAGATGGTTATATATCACAAAGCCACATTACGAAGACAAACCATTGTCGTCTGGGATCGTCAACGCTAAGAGGGCCAGTTCGAGTATCAAGACCCGGTGGGGGCGGAGAGAGCGATGCTGCATTCACACCAAGTCCCCCAGTCACCACACAAAACCCCGTGGATTCAAATGTGTCTATGGCTTTGGCCCACCAAACTAGAATTCGTAATTTGTATTCCGGAACGGGAATGGGTTATTTGGGTGATTCGGCCATACCGGAACTGACAGCAGCTCCAAGCACAGCGAACCGCAGACCGGATAGCTCTAGTTCCGCCAGTTCCACCACTGATTGGGAAGGCTCTGGCCACGCTACAGTCTTGAGAAGAGGCGTACATATGCCCCCTCTACCACCGCCCAGGCAAAATATGCCATTAGTTGACAGTTTGAGACCGCTGGCACCTATGGTCCCTGTATATAATAATTTAAATGCCAATTTGCCAACGTCCAACTCAACGGGCAACGTTGCCGACTCGAACAGTAGCGAGTCTGAATTCGAAAGGAGCTTAAAAGGTGGCCAAGTGCCAATGTCGCAGTTCCGACTGAAGCCAAAAATCAAGCTAGGGAGTGCACAAACATCGGTTGCGGCTAGGGTCAGCAAGGAGCATGCCCTATTTATGGACCGACTGAATGTAAGAACGGAACCAAACCCACAGGGGTCGTCGGTAAACCCAATATCATCCACGCATACGACATCTACAAATAACACCGCTGGCAGCCGAAAACCCATCAATTTACCCGATGACGATGACAGTGCACTGGTTTTCAATGCATCCAATATGTACTATCCGCAAGCGGACAGTGATCTGCTGCCGGAGACCAAGAAAGAACACAAACCTAGTAATCACAACGGTTCTACATCTGGCAGCGCTTCGTCTCAAGGTGTCGCTGCAAAAGATGCTACCTCTAAAACAAATCAAAAAACTATTCAGGACTCCATAATGCGCCAAATGAACCGAGAGATGACGCCGACCATTTCGGAAGTCTATCATGAACGCAACTTGGGACTGGGTTTGGCCCCACCGCTCTCCCAGCTATTACTCAGCAAAAACTACGAAGAAGCTGAAACCTGCAAGCCCACACCAGCCAACAGCATTGCCCTGAAAAGTCTGGCCGATGCTGGCAACGACATTGAATTAAGTGGTGGTTGTTCGACATCCTCTGTTAGCACGAGAAACACTAAACACGCAAAGTTGCATCGCCGCCAACAGCGGGCACGGAGACGAATGGTCGGCATGCGGTGAATCGTCCGTAATGAAATCATAATGCGGTAAAAGCGGAGGCTGGAGATTGGTGTTTGGTACATGTTGTTGTTTAGGTTTTTGTAGAAAAGCATACGGGATCTGAAATATAATTGAAGTTGAGGGTTCAATAGTCATGAGTGTTTTTCGTTAATGTATGTGTAGAACTTACTGTTCGAGCCTTTGTCTCGCCTTTGTTGCACATGAATTTGTTTGTTTTTTCTTCACCGCTTCTGTAAATTCATTGGGTTTTTTCTTTAGAATATACACTGATGTCTTGTCACAATCAATATTGTTGTTAGAATTTTCGGTAGGCACGGGAAAATCAACATTCACTGTGGGTATTTGTTCTCTCTGTGGCTTTGTGGATGTAAATTCGTTCTTGTTGCAGCTGCATTCATCGTCCGCAAAAGTAATTTTCAGCCAAAGTAATTGAGTTCTTTAGAATTTGTATGTTGCGCTCATTGGCGCGTATAGTTGTGTTTTTGACATTGGTGTTTGCTTCTTCTTTTTTTGTTGTTGAGAAAATGACGAAATAATCAAGTGGATTCTTAGATCGAAAATGGACTTTTCTCATTTGGCGCGTATAGTTGTGTTTTTTTTGGCGTTGGTGTTTGCTTCTTCTTTTTAGAAAAAATGACAGATAATGAAGTGGATTGTTAGATCGAAAATAGAGTTTTTTGCTATTGACGGCGTCATTGCACCCAACTCTGTACAAAGTGAAATGTTGTACGATCGGCAGTACAATATGTTTGACATTTCGATGTTGGACAATAAATCGCATTGTATGAAAGAAATAAATTGAAATGATGTTTATCATTTTGTGGAATGTGAAATGTTGTACGGTCGGTAGTAGAAAATGTTTGATATTTTGATGTTAGACAATAAATCGCATCGAATCAAAGAAAGAAGTGTGGCCAACGTGAAAATATGTTGGTTCTAGGAATCAAAATGTCATATGGCATTTTTCATTTCTTTTTGTATGAGCATTCTCAAATTTGCCGCGAAGGTGTGTATTCATATTGTTGAAGAATTGGTGTTAAAAATGACAAAGTTCTTTGAAATTGATGGGAGATATCAGCGAGTGAGCCGTCACACATCAGCAAGCCGACGCAACCTTTCACCAAGAGTAATACAACAGAAGCTTTCCCAAGCACACAACACAAGGCGGCAGAAGGGACAGTAGAGCGATGACGCCTTGCAGTAATACAAAGTGTTTTCATACAGCAACCTGGCCAATGGTACGGCGGCGCGGTACACGAGCATTAGAATTTTTGGCACATAGCCAGACGCTCAGAACAGTAAGTCATCAGAAGGCTTTCAATACAGTTAACTATTCATAACATTTACTTATCGCAATCTTTACCATCCATAGGCAAACGTCGTTTTTGAAGAATGCAGTGGCGTTCCATAAATTCACACGGCCGAATGTTACCCCGGCGGAGACAATATATAGTCACGTCTAATCAATTTCCTAAAAAACTTTCATTACATAATGTATTGTTGATTGGTTTTGTTTTGTGTGTGTGCGAGCGAGCGAGCGAGCGTGCGTGTTATAAAATTGAATAACAATCGATTCGGAATTAATGGGTAGGCATGAATGCAATGTGTTTTGATCACACGCTCATCACACGAACGAATAATGCAAATATTTGGATTGGCTCTAAAATGTTTTTGTTGTAAAATAAAACATAAATTGTCATTAATGAAATCATAATGTGTATAGAGTACGCCAGTTGAATACTAATTATGGAATGCAAGAAAAGTGGGAAATGAGTCGAAAGAGTGTTGGTTTGGGTAGGTGTCTCACATATGCACGCAGTGCGTCAATTGTAGCCGAGAGAAGACGACGACGACGACGTGGAAGGAATTAGAAATATAGCAATAAATAGTGAAACTTAACAATATTGTGTAGGTGGATAAATTTTAAAAATTGTATGGAAAAATGCGTCAAGTAGTTGGTGGTTTATTATGCGCAGTGTAGATTCGTCAGGTTGCAAAATACCGAATTTGTCTGGGGTAGGCTAGGCGAAGCTAAAACGACGAATGAAAGACATGTATCGCGATATAGGTGAGTGTACAAAAGTGTGGTCTTTGTGTTTTTTTGTTTTTGGTAGGCATGTATTATAGCATTGTTCGTAATGAAGTATTTTTTGGAAAAAGACATTTCTCTATATATACACCAGAAATTGCGGAACTGTTGTTTATTACACACGCAACAATTAAAGGGTTGAAGCTAAACCTTGACATCGCGGATAGGTGGTGGTTTGTCAAGCAGTGCTATATATCTGGGACGACCAAGAAACAGTTTTCAGCCGAGGAGTAGTAGGAGGATTAGAAAGCCAAGAATATCAAGGAGAGACATGAAGAGGATTACGCTGGTTGTGGTAGTTGCCGTGTTGTTTACGTGCTGCAATGCTGCGGAGAATGTTAGTAAGGATAAAAAAGATGTTGCAGTATTAGAAAATGATTACTCAGAATCTGGCGAGGATAAACTAGAAGCAGGCATAGGTGAAACAGGGTCCAGTAAGAGCAAAGATGTGCACAAGCGTGGAGTTTTTCACTATGGAACGTTGGGATCTCATGCAGCATGGCCCAAGTCTTACGCTGGGCATTATGGGTATGGTGTAGATTTTCCCAGTTCGTTTTCTGTAGGTGCAGTTGGTTCCAGCCATCATATCCATGTTCCAGGATCAATAAAGTATCACAGTGGAATTCAGTACAAAGGTGTTGTTCCATCTAGTGTAGGGGCTGTTAGCACGACTGTTATACCAGCGGTGTCGACGTTGAGTCCAGTTCACACACACCAAGTAGCTGCTGCTGCTGCTGGTAGTGTACCCTACGTCATCAGACCTGGTGGAGCAGTTGTGCAGTCTTATAGCGTAACTTACCCTCATCATAAAAGCATTGTTGGTGTTAAACCGGTTCATAGTTATGGGACTGTTGCACATGCTGCTGGTGCTGCTGTAAATAGCATTCATCAAGCAATTCATCATGTTCCAGCGCAGCCAATACAGCCTGTGGTGCAAGTAAAATACCTAAAAAATGATATATATTCTAATTTGTATGATAATGAGAGTTATATGTAATGATATTATTTTGCAGACATATGTGCAACCAGCAACTGCCGTAGCTCAAGCTGTTCCTTCCGTAGGTGTAGTAGCACAATTTGGTTCTGGTAATTTCGGTCCAGTAGTGACAGAATTTCAGGGAAGTCCTTCGTTTGGAAATTCTGGAACATTTTCTGTAGTTGGTGGAGAGAGTAGAACGCCTGTGGTAGCAGCAGGTGTACCTAATGTGGCAGTTGTCGCAGCACAGGTGCCAGCTGTCCCAAATGTGCCTGTTGTCGCAGCACAGGTGCCAGCTGTCCCAAATGTGCCTGTTGTCGCAGCAGCAGCAGCACCCCAACCTCAACCGCATGGTCCAAATGTTTTTTATCCAGTTAACATTCAGCCACCAATTGCCCAACAGCCACCTACATTCGTTAATGTTCAGCAGGCAGGAATTGGGCAACAGGCACCTACATTCGTTAACTACAATCCGAATGTTGAAGTTGGCACGACGTTTGTGCCTGTTGGTGGAAGACCAAATCAGAGCCAGCCAGATTTCGGAAGCAATGAAGCAGCACCTCAGATTCCCGTTCAAGCAACTGCAGGTGGTCAAGCAGAAGCTGAACTGCCAGCTATTCAGCCAGAGCCTAGCCAAGAAGCATGGAAGCCTGTGTTATATCAGCCTCCAAGCGTACAAAGTGAAGTAAATCGTCCTTCCAACACACTTTTGCCACCTTACGGCAGCACACCGGCACAAGGTAAGTAGATAAAATTGATGGAATGGTAAGGTTAATGATTTTTTGGATTTGTTTACATTTAGGTTATTTGCCGCCAGAATCGACAAGAAATCAAAAGACTCGCCAGGAATATAAGTACAGCAAGAATTTGCTTGAACTGTCTGATGCCGACATTCAGAATATTTTCCAGCAAGCTAGTATAGCTTCTCAAAACGACCACAATCATGCGCACGTACATCCTCATACAATTCACAATTATCACTCGCATTATTAGGTACGTGTTGCGGTTTAATATATATATGCATTTAATTTTAGGTATTGTTTTATGTCTCGTATTGTAAGATTTGAAATATTAATTAAAGGTTTATTTATTTCGGAGAATAAATTGTAAAATTTGCAATAGACTTTACTTTCGTTTAATGGATGCAATGGAAAAGAATGTGGCTGCGATATATTCCATAAGTATCATAATGCTGGGGTAAACAATGTACAGTATACATTTGATAAATAAAATAAAAAGAAATGATAATGTACTACGGAGTTTGCTTTAGAAATGTAATTGAATTCTTTTTTTTTTTTGCATGGGAAATACAATACTTCTTGGGAAAATATTATTAGTACAAAGAAATTTTCTCGTTTATAGCTTACAGTAAATAGTTTGATGTTTTTTTATTTGGGAAAACTATTACGCGTGAGAAATAAAAACATTAAAATTATAGATGTTACTAAAGCTAGAATAAAAAAAATATTACATTGTTTAGATTGATAAATTAAAAGTTATTTGAACTACCGTTTGTCTAACTTTGCTAGAAAGGCAACGCTAGCAATGGTGATCAAAAATGTTTAATTTTATTCTGATGACAAAAGTTTTGCTTATTTTATTTTGTAATGGAGAGCTAAGTTTATGTTTTTGTTCAATGAAAATAAAAATTGCTTAATAATATATTGGGGGTACTAAGATCGTGTTTTGTTGTGTTTTAAACTGTGTTCCTTTTATAAATAACAAGCGCTTCAATAGTTATCCTAAACTAAGTATGCCGTTTTGTCTTTTTAGCGCTCATCGATTGGTTGATTTTTTGTTTGTTCTTTATTTTTGTATAATAATTATTGATGCGAATTTAACGCTTCTGCGAATTCTAAAATATTGTTTAGTCACTACGTATTTTTTTCATTTCTGGTTGTGCTGAATCTTCTAATGATGCTTCATCCGCGCAGTTGAGTGTTCTTTTCTGGCCTAATATTGTGGCAGCAGTAGCGCAGGTTCCACTATGTGGAGTAGTGGAATCAATACCTAAATAAATACAAAGAAGTTTATATTAATAGTAGGCACACAGTCTTATTTAATCTGAGGTAGGGATTATTACCTGTATGATGATTGGTTGTTGGAGATGCATCCTCGTCGTCGCCTTCGGAATCACGCAAACAGTTACTATCACTATTTTCTCCATCCAAGCCAGCAGCAGAAGCTGGAACCATTAATGCGCCGTTTCCGTTTGATGTTGTTGGATTATTAATATCTGCCTCTTTTTGCTGTAGCGAACTGTTTTTCATAGTCGTGACTGCCACTGGTGGTTCCATATTGCTTTCGGAATCGGAAGCCAATGGAGTACGAACGGTAGCTTCATCTCCGTCGTCCGAAGTTGTGGTTACTGTAGTTTGTGTAGTGTTCTCATCAAGAATAGGTTCTTGTGATGAATCATTTGACACAAAATTCGAATCGCCATCCTGAGGTGTGGGGTTAGTATTTTCATTTTCAGATTCAGTAGCAATATTGGTTGATTCGACACGACCTGTAAAAAAGTTGTAATATAAATTAATAGTTATACTTTTCCATTTGATATTATACGGTGGATGAACTATAATATATATTTTTGTGGTATATATTAACCTGCACTGTCTTCGTCAGCATCGTTTGTATCTTCACTTCCAGCATTTTGTACATTGTCATTTTCTGAACTACCGTTGCTTTTTTTCGAAGCTGCACATCCTCCGCCTTTTCCACTGGGCATTTCGTCCAATAATTCTGGACTCAAATCATTAGCGACATAATGAGCCCACAATGCTAACTCGACCCTATGTGGTGACCAAACTGGCTTATCACCACCAGCCTGTGCGTTCAGACGAGTGACAGTCGATTGTATATGCTGAACAAAATTGAGATACTCCTTTGTTGTATAGTCGATACCTTCAATTTCTGGAATGGCCATAAGACACTCGTCTGCCATAAATGGGGCAGAATCGGGACATGCAGCAGCTAATAATGCCGAAGCCATAGTTGTACCGACGCCTTTTAAATTTGACAACGCCGTAATAGCCTGCTCTAAATTAGGCAGTTTGCGAAAAGCCTTTTTTGTCTCTTGTACAACAGCTCGAGGTGTATTTACTTTAACCAAATAGTTCAGCTGAGGATAAAATTTTCCACGTGCTTGTTTCCACTTCATCGTCTGGACTAATTCATCATAAACCATATGTGCATCCTTCCCTCGCTCTTTTATAAGTTTGGGCAAAACATTTTGATACCATTCATCCAGTCGAATTAATTCCTGAGGTTTTTTATTTCGCTTTTCTGCTTTTAATTTTAACACTTCTGGATACAATTTGTAGCAATAGTCAAATTGCTCTGTTGTGCCATTTTCGAAGAAGGAAGCCGTATCTTTACCGGTATTAGCCATGTTTATTACTGTTTCACTGCTGTAAATTGTTTAAATGGGCGACGCAAAATATTGTGATGGGCAGCAAAAATATGTAACGCCAGAAGGACACCAACTCGAAATAAAGCAAATCGAAAAATAAAAGGCAATGCACAATAAAACAAACGACGAATACGAAAATGACAGATGGCTTTTCAAACGAAGATATAAACTACATTCGTTTGTTGTTGCTTCTATTTAATGGCGGCTCGTAGTTTGTGTAGAGAAGACAAGCAAAAGAAAAATCAAGCTACCAGCTTAAAATGTTGAGCTCTCTTGGATGTTAATGTGGTCGATGATAAATGCTTCTTTTTCTGCCTGCTGCTTTAGTACAATTTGGTGGCGTTGATGGTGGTGGTTGCTTGTCTGTATATCACAGAATAACTCACACAAACATATACGCTTTGTATTTTAGTGGCAGCTGCGATGTTTGTGCGGCACTTCTGACGACTTTTTCTCTGGTATATGTGTTCGTTTAAAATGTTTCTGTGTATGCTGTGGTGGTGGTATCGCTGATAATGACAACTGTGAAGGTCTCAAACTACAAATCCTTTCCAGGAGCTAATATTTATTTGCTTTTATCCAAACACGTATACACCAAAAAGGTTCCTCTGATTTTTGTTTTTCTTTAGAAATGGTCAAAGGCACCGAAAAAAATCTCCCCTTCTGCGTGACAATCTAAACCAATAATGAAAAATGCTTATTAAAGTAGGGATCGGCAAATCAAGTATCGATTTTTGCAAATAAAATAACGATATGTTGAAATCGAATACTACCTCGATTTTTTCTTTACACAATTAAATGCTCTTTTATAATTCAAGCACATAAAAACAGTGTTGTTAACTCAATGAAATCATAGTCTACCATTGTTGTTTTGTCGCCGTCAATTATGTATCTTGACGCGCGCACCGCTTTTAAAAAAGGTAGTACATTTTATGTGACCAAACATCGATTATTTGATGAGGCGACTATTGAAAGTCTATGAGTGATGATGAAATGAAACACTACAATCTTTGATACATTACATTTGTATATTTGTAGCATACATTCTTTACAAATTCAATTTCATATAGTTTTCTTAAAAGACGCCAGTTTGCTGACACGAATAGTTAGTTCTTTCCATGTAATGTCGTAATTCGGTTTTAGAAACCTGTGAATATTTAGAAAATATATATAGATGACTTTATAAGAAGAGCGCAAATAATTATACACTTTCAATTCAAAAAATTTATAAACTTTTCCATATGCTTAAACTAAATACTTGCATATGCATGTAGGTTTAACCAGTGATTATTTACATTATGCTAAAGAATATAAAAACATACATATATATTTAACATATTCGTTCCTATCACGTTTGTCGATTATCAGGTATTTCCATAAAACGGTCTAATATTTGCAAATTATTACCATTGACGGTATTTTGTATATCTGTTCTAACACATTGTAGACAAAATATATACTTAATACTGCAAATTTTTGAGTCCGACAACGCATGGTCTATTGTCGAATTTCGACTACCACAAAATCGTGATAAGAGGGATTACATAAAAGTAGAAAATAGTTAAATATATCTATAAAAATGCAGTATTCAGCAGATATGTTAGATTCAATAACAAACATAACATCTTGCCGTTATTAAAAATAAAGAACAATCGGACAGAAAATGTAATGACTATTGCTTCTGCTTAAATATCTCCATTTCATTTTACTTGGAACACTAGAAAGGAGTGAAACCTAGCATTAATTCGATATTTGTTCAGTGATTGTCAATAATCAAACGGTCTATCTATCCATCATTACATTTTTTGCACATTTATCCATGCATTATTGTATATTCTAGGGAAAAGTTGTCAGTTTTCAATCAAATCGGAATAGATTAATAATTTAAAATATAAACATACGATCACGCCGAGTAATAATGTCATAAGAAACCGAAAGAAGTGTTAGTTATTAAAACATAGCCAATCAATTCATATTTATTTATGAAAACATATATCCGAACACGGTCGAAAAATAACATCGTATGATCGGTTTTCGTACTGCAAGAGTCTATAGTTTTTTGCTATTTTTTGATATTACTAAGGAAAAACTATTATCATAGTAAAAAATTTACATTCTTGCAAGTTCTGGAATAGACATATAAAAAACCAGAAAGGCGTGTTAGTTACTACAATACAACGCATCACACAACATTTTACGCTTCCTTTTGCTTTACATATTAGAGGGTTAAAGAATTGTTAAAGACAAGGGGAGTTTGATGGTTATTTAATTTACTTAAATAAAACTCAAGTACAACATAATAGTTATTAATGCATATCTAAATCTTCCAGTCGTACTGGTTGTGTGTATGGTATTATAGATTTCCTTTCGGTGTCCCTTGAGAGAGCTTTTCGCATATCTATAAATAGAATAATTCACATTTAAGTAGGTAAACAATATAGAAAAACATTCTCATATAAATAACAAAGTTTGCACGTCTTTTGAACAATTTGGAATATATTCAAAAGCAAAAACACATACCATAAGCATCTTCATCCTGATCTCCGGAATAATAATCCAATATAGTTCGATAAACAATATATCCCAAGTTCGTGTACATGTTTATCGCTATCTTATTACTTTTCCGCACAAATAAATCAACAAAGTAGGCCCGTTTCCTAAAAGAGAATCACAAAATTGTATTTGTACGACGTTGGTATAAGCACTTACTTTTCCGATATATCTTCCAAAAAATGCATTAACAAAGCAGCCAATCCTAATCTACGGTAGTCAGGTGAAACTGTTAATGCAGTAACATGTCCATGCCAGTTTTCCATATGACCCTCAACTTTGCCCATTACTAAAACAACAGCATTTATAGATATTATTCAAACAAACATGTGTGTTATGCTTACTATATCCCATAATCTGTCCGCTTGGGGATTCCGCAAGTTGAAAGAACTCTGGCCAGCGGGCAAGATATTGAGTATAGAATGATAGACCGTAAGTCTCAGTCAAGGGGTCAAAATTACTATAATCCGAAGAAGAATAACATGGCATAATGTTAATGACATAAATTTGTTTCAATTATTGTAATATTACTTACACATTATTAAATTTAAATAAATCGTCACATGTAAAAGGCCTTAAAGTTGTCATTTTGTATGGAAAATAAAAATAAACAAGCTAATGTTATGTGTTCAGCAACCGAAAACGAAGACGAGCCTCTCACTTTAATTTTAACGCCGTGCAATGTTCTCCTGGGGACCTATAAGAGCTGACAAACAATCGATGGCCACAATACTATTTTTGTGTCTGTATCCATCGATAGTTAAACAGACGATAACATTGCATGCCTTCCACTGCTTTTCAGGTCGTACAAATAGTGGATGAGCGACATTTTAAAATGGATCTCATCGATTAAATTTTAATAAAGCAATGGTTAATAAATGTGGCCATGAGGTATTCCTATTTTGCAAACATTCATCGACTAGATTTGTCGATTCATAAAAAGGTCCAATCGAACGACCGTTTTTCCCAAAGGTTGACAAATCGACAGTTACAATCGATGATAATACCGCCGATGATTTCTTTAGACAGGCTGTGGACTTTATTTACGCGTCATAAAAAGAAGTGTATTTTCTTTTTGTTGAAAATTTGTTTTCTTAAAGATAATTGCAAAGAAATAACAACAAACGTATAACTGGTCAGTTAGGATCCGACAGAGGAGTTCAAAAGAAATCAATAACACACAATTGAAGAAACTCTTTAAAGCATTAATGAAAGTGGGACACAGCTGCACCAATACCAAAAAGGGAATGCCAGAATGAGGAAAACGTGAAAAAGGAGAAAATCTGTTGAACAAATATATTCGGTTCGTCAATTATGGTGTTAATTGAGTTCGCTGGAACACAATAAAATATATTGTTTTATAATTATTAAAAATTCATTAAGTGTCATTCTCCCAAAGCAATTCAATGTCCGCGTTTGGATGTTTGTGCATTTTCGTTCGTGTTTAATTGTTCGTCGTTTTCGCCGTCGTATTGTTGCTACATAATTTACATGTATGTTAAACGGGTTTTGGTATACCGCCAGTGAAAAGTTAAAGGATTATTCACAATGCATAATATAACAAATTAATGGAAAACGGACGCTTCATACAAAAGTTATTCCTGTAAAAGTTAAACAAATTTATGTCATGAGAATGAAGCAGTACAAACAGAACGCCACATTTCTCCGCCTTTCGTAGACGATATTGCCAGACTTAATAAAAATTGATGTATATTTTTGATTTACCACTACAATTTCGTACGAAACGATAAATTAAACAGAGATATAACTAAGGGCTACAACAGTTTCCTATTCTAATGGGCATGCATTTTACAGATTTAATTAAACAAAGATTATTTAGTTTGTTAAGTATTTGACGCAAAATCAATTCAGATATGTCCACCAAATGAAATTCTTGGCGTTTTGAGAAATGTTTCTCTGAAGTTGCCATCACTGTTTACGCTTGTTTTACTGTGCCGCGTTTATGGCTTTGTAAGAACTGTAAATTTGCTTGGGTTTGTGTGTGTTTTCGTTTAGCCACAGCTCTACATTTTCTTTGTATTCATACGTTTGGATCGTTGGCATGTCGTAGACATAAGTGTATCGAATGACTTTTTTTCTCGTGTGTAAAAGTTGCTCGTTTTGTTAAATTTTTATGGCGGAGCTATTTGTTGCTGTTGTCGATGCACATCTGAAGGTTGTGCAAAGATTTGCAATCGATATATTTTTCGTAATATAAGAAATGCACTTGTCCGATAGACCGTAAGATTGTCTTCCCTTAGGCCTGCTTATAGTGAATGGATAGATGTTAAATCGCAATTATTGTTGATAAAAGTACACGATAGTTTTATCCAAAAACAACAAAATAACTACTACTACTATTAGTGTTGTCTCGTGTGTTTAATGGATATTCGCTTTTCATCGTAACATTTCGTCTTGTTCGTCGTTTGATGTTTTGTTCTCTATGTGCTTATTCATTTCTTCCTTTGCCTTTCGACCATATTTTATTTAATGCACGAACAAATCATTTTCGCATCGAATGAATGTGGTATGAGTAAAATGTAATTGTGTTTGTGTTTTCAGACAATCTCAAATATGTATATGAAGTATGTTTTTGTACAATGGGATTTCGCAAATGTTTGCTCCAGGTCGTGTGGCTTTAAATGTGTGAAGATGTTTGCCTATGCTAGTGTTGTCTGGTTAACCCAGAACCCATGTGCGTATTAATGGGGTTTTTGTTGAAACATTTTAAACTTTTACTTTTTGTTAAGATATTGGGTATTATTGCAGGGGCGGCGGACACATTAATGAACGTTGTAATTATTGGGTATATCTATCTACAAGTGTATTTTACATCTAATACAAAAAGGTGGGAACTGTTGGTCGCAGTCTGCGTTCTTTTGTAAAAAATATATATCGTTAGCTAATATCGGGAATTTTTATGGTAATACATATATAAAGCGCGTCATTATATCTAAATACACATAAGTCATATAAACACTTTGGGAAGATCAATGATAATGTTTTCTTCCATCCACAATAGTAGGAAAGTTTCTAATAAGGAGCGATATTAAAGTTTGTCATAGGTTTCGGGGGTAATTGAGGTACATATATGCAATATTCTGTCCTAATACCGATAATAATCATGTGGCTTATTGAATTTTACTTCAAATATTAGAACTTTTGGTGGGAGTCTGCATTATTTTCTATACACAAAAATATGTCACTAGCTAATATTATGAATTTTTAAATGTGGTTATAGGTTTTGGGGACAATTAAGTGACATACAATACTTATTCTAATAGCCGTAATAATCATGTTGCCTATCGAAAAATAATATTTCCAAATCTATAATATATTTTGCAGTGACTGTGTCCCAAAAATTGTAATCTTGAAGTAAACGGAACTGTTTTAAAGCATTGTTTTAGTTTAAAAGCCGATAGCAAGAAATGTTGGACTGGATTTTACACATGCTTACATAAATGTCAATAGGTGAGACTGGTTGAAATTATAAAAAAATTACTCTGTTCTATAACTAAATATATTAATATATTTTTGCAGGTTGAAATGTTATGATTGCGGGGCAGATATTAACGTTTTTCGTAACTAAAGAATTAATCACATTTGGATTAACAAAATAAAAATATCAGATCCCGGAAATATCAAGGGATACGTATACTAAAAATCAGCAAATTTACTCACACTTGAGCAATGAGTGTAACAAATCGCAGAAAATCGACAGATTCAGAATCAAATTCAACTGCTCATACAACAAACAACGATCAACGTCATCAGCCATTACTATCATATATAAGTTGCAGACAAGCTGCCACGGTATCCAAAAGAAATAATCGGTCGCGAATTGAAGACGACCAAGAACAGTTAGTTTCTTCAACATCAACGGATATTTTATTACCTTTGCAGGCTGAAGGTGAAGGAGAAGAAGTATCCATTGATTTGGAAACGGTTGTTACATCTTCAGCACGCATTAGCAGTAGCACAAATACTTATGGTATTATAGCCGATTCACTAGAAGAATCAAATTTGCCATCAACATCTGGCTATGCAAGGGCAGAAACTGAGTTGGCATCTGCAAATAGTCCTAATGCTAATAATAATAATCGAACAGTGAGACCTATATCTAATGAAATGGGGACCAAAGACAACAGTGAAAAGGTCATTGACGAGACTGGTATGCGATTTTCTAATAGCGGTAGCGAATGTGATGTTAGCTTAAATGACCGTAACGATCAATCCACTTCCGCGAACAATAACGTTTTGGGTACCCTAACACATATTGACAAAAATAAAATAAAACTTAAACTGCCGAAATTGACAGCTAGCGAATCTCACGATATTCCATCGAATGAAGATTGTAGGAAAGTTGAACCTCTCAAAATAAATCTGCTAAATGCACAGCATCACAGTACTAATAATGTTCATCACACACCCAAAATAACTATAAAACCAATACTGAAGGAACATGCTCCTGAAGTTCTAGTATCCTCGGAAGAATGTTCTTCATCCGCCGAGGATGAAATTGTTTCCACACTGAATATCAGTGATCCTCACATTTTGCCGAAATTAACAATTCGATCTAAGAATGAGGACAATGGATCTTCACATACAACTGTGGTTCCAAAACTTACCATTAAAATCAATGATACCAGCTCTGTCGAATCACAGAATTCCACTTCGGCTGCTAATACACCACCCCTACCAAAGTTAACTATTAAGACAGGACAAGACGGCCACACTGAATCTATTATATCGAATATTTCGCCTGCCTCCTCAACGACGTCGGCATCTTCGTCATTGGGATCTTCGGCTCTAACCTTACCAGCAATTCCTAGCTCCCCTGTTGTAACGGCATCATTACCTTTACCAAAATTGACAATTAAACCTCTGCAAAAAGCGAATGAACAACCGTCAATACCTAAGTTTTGTATAAAGACTAATATATTGTCCACGGATAACTCGGAAGATCCCGCGCAATCTAAAATACCAAAATTGACTATTAAAACTGGTCAGGAGCATGCAGTTATTATTACACAACGAAATGATCATATGAACGCAGCAGGAATACCTAAGCTGACAATAAAAACAAAATCATTGGAAATTCCAGATGATACATGTACAGAAGATAGCAATGTTGTAATGGAAAAAATTCCCAAACTTACAATAAAGACCAATGCGGTAAATGAGATCTCGACAAAGTCCAGTAAAACAAAAATCGCTCCGGAAGCAGTAGCTGATAATATTAATTTGCAATCACCGAAGCAACAGGCCGTGCCCAAAATAACTATTAGCAGACAATCCCTTCAAATGGATAATCAATCCGACATAAGGGAGGGTGTGACGAAAATGACAATTAAAACATCTAATCAATCGGACTTTTCGATAAAAAGTCAATTGAATCGGCCGCCTTCCACAGAAGAAAGTGGCATAAGCGACGATACAGAACAAGACTTTTATGAGGCGATTCACAATAAAACAGTACCGAAACTTACGATAAAAAATTTGGGCTCTCCTCAGCTTAAAATAGTGGCAGATTCACATCCAGATGTAAACAAAAAGTTTAACTCTTCAATTGCTTCCGTTGATGTAGATGAATTCACCGATCTGTTAAATGTGGAAAATGTCGGGGAAGAGTCCAGTAACTCCCAAGAGTTTTGTGGATTTAATGATCACTCTGTAAATGACCGTCCTGTAAACGCTACCACAAATAAAGAAAAGGTTAACATACACCGTAATTCTGATGATATGGACATTGATGAAAGTCTAAAAATGCAGCATGAACCGCAAATTTTTCAAAATAATTCTCAAATGAAAGATCATGCATCGTCTTTCATTCAAGAAGCGGAGATCAATGGAAAGTTGGTTTCTAAGGAATGTTTTAAGTCTGAACGTATTATCGATACTGTTGATTTGACATCGTCGGCCGGAAGTTCTCCCGCGCAACTTAATCGATTTGACTACAACGATGATGAAGATGGAAGAAAATCGAATGACGCGTGCAATGAATTAGTGCCTACAACGAGTATATTGATGGAACGATTGCAGAGGGAAACATCAGTAATAAAGAAAGTTATTATTCAAAGCAACCCTATGGAGAATGCCTCACAGCCACCAACATCAAATGTTCTCAGCAATTCACCAAATTCACAAACATATCCTCAATTGGCGGAACGCTTAATTACTAATGGATCTAATGTAGACACGTTAGGCACTAGTCGTGTACAAACAAAAAGCAATAACGTTGAGAATATTATTGATTCGATAGAAATTCTTGATTCACCTGAAGGTAGCTCTCAAAATTCGTCCGATGCCCTATTTGAGAATACCTGTGTCTCTAATACTAATACTGACATTCAGAACGGGTTGCACTATTCAAAAGAGGCTCACCTACTTGCCATTAATAACAACAACATAAACTTGAAAAGACATGCATCTGTCGACCGTGACGAAGTAAATCAATTTAATTCGAATGAAGGTAGCGGGGTAAAAGGATTACCATCAAAATTACGAAAACTACAAAATGACAATTCCAGCCCAAATAAAATATTGAATGAAGATAGTTTGACCCAAACAGAATGTTTTCACGAATATGAAGGAGATATTTCCTTGTCGAATTCAGAAGTTAATACAACAAATGCAGCTATTATACAGACTGGAGTTCCAGTTCATCAACGATCGCGTAAGCAAAAGCACGAACATTTGCTGCCCGTTCCAGCAGATGAAGTGGCCAATACTATTCAAACAAATTCTGTTGATAGCGTAGAATGCCAAAATGACGACAGTAGTTCAAGCAACAGCAAAACGCCAGCTATCAAGAAAAGAGGTCGACCAAAAAAATCGGATGCAGCTGCAATGCCACCAAAAACCAAAGATGAAACAAATGCGAAACCTGCAGCGAATTCGGTTGACAATAAATCGCGTAGAGTTCAATTATTACGAAAGCGTTTAGCGATAGATATGGTTGATATCGACAATCCCTTGGCAGACGCTTCAGAAAAGAACGATCTTCAAGACACTCAGCTTATAAGTGAATATCAAAATAGCGCCGATACTTCAAAGAGGGAAAGAAGCTTACGTATTCCTTTGAGAAATTCAAGAAGAAGCAATACACCGAATGCTCTTCACACAGAGTCGGGAAATGGAACCAGTAAATTAATGTCTTCATTGGAGGACAAAAAAACAGCAAATGATATGGACTCCGAGAGTACATTTAATCACTTTGTAGAGTCAAATTCTTCAGTGTCATCTGTTAGTTCAAACGCTTCAGCTACGGTTACCATAAATACAACCACCATAGCCAATAGCGGCTGCACCTTAATGCCTTCACAAATCGACTTGACAATTTCATCTTCCTCATCAAGTAGTAGTAATGGTAGCACTACGAACACAATAACAACAGTCGAGGCAACTTCCATGCTTCCACCCACAACTATATTGTCTTCAGATCCTCTGCCAGACGTCGTATTCAAACCTAGTGATTTTTCATCAATGATGACATCCCAACATTTGCAGGAATCGTCATTTTCGATAAGCACCCAATCGAAATTCGATGACTCACAAAATGAAGAAATACAAGGCGAAATCAGTGGTGCAGATTATTCAGAAGGTAAGTGTATTTATCTATAAACTATTTAAAATCGATTAAATTACAATTTACCCACACATATATACAGACGATTCCACAAGTTCATCTACTACGTTAAACAGAGGTAGAGGTCGTATTCGGGGTGTACGTGGCGGGCGTACACCCGGGCGTGGTAATCGTACACATAACATGGGTCGAGGAGCAACTCCAACCTCAAAATCAATAGCTTTAAGTAGGCCGCGATGTGTTGGTGCTCTTAAGCACACTCCGGACCCAGAAAGGATAAAAGGATTATATAGCCCGGTAAGTCTTGAAAGTATTATATAGAATTTTCAGTTTATACGAATGCTAAATTAATAGGCACCCCAAGTATTTGAAGAAGATACACGAATGAGCGCTGACTTAACACAGACAAGCATCCCGCAGCAAGGTTCGCCTCTGCAAACAAGGTAATATTTACTTTAAAAATTACAAGATATATATGTGTATTATTTATATGAAATATATATTTATATTTTAGTCAACCGGATTTTTGTTCAAACGAAGAATCCCAATCCTCTGTGATAAGTAATACCAGCATTTTGGATTCCAATATTACCTTTTCGTCGCAAAGTGCCACTTCTGCCAGAAAACCCATGAAAAAGAAGAAAATGGAAGTGTGTGTAGCCGAAGAGTAAGTAAACAAATATTAGAATTTTATAAATGAACGACAGAAGATCAAACGAAAACTATCACATGGTGGTTTCCAATACCTCAGATTAGCGTAAGTTTACCCCCCTATACTTTTTTTTAAATTTTGTTTTAGTACGGAGTTTACGGTTGCTTCTATAGCGGAATATGATTGGCCTCCACCAAAAGGTTGCTGTCCTTCTAAAAATCGAGATACGTTTATGATTCAAGAACAAGTTGCAATGTATTTGGGTATTAAAAGTTTTAAGCGGAAATATCCCGAATTACCTCGACGTCAAATAGATATGGAGGAACGAAATTGGTTGCAAGAGAAAGGCCTGGTATCTGAGAAAATGTGCGATTTGGGAATAACTGCTGTGTGGGCTTCCGATATATTGGATATTATGTACACCGATTTCTACGATAAATACGAAGAATACAAGGATTTCGTGAGACAAAAACATTTGCGAGAAATAGAAGCTAAGCAAAAATCGTTGGGCTTAAATGTAGCTGGAAGGGGTTTACAAGCACGAGAGAGAGCATTGTTATCTACCAGCAAATGGAATTCATATTTCAATAGGACGTATGTACCTTAGTGAAACATGTTGTCGCACATTTCTAATAATATGTTGTTTCAGTCGCAAAGATGAGCGTTTGTCATTCCTCGATTTACAAACATTAGTGGTTAATAAACCCTCCCCACGTACCGCTCCGTTATCTACCCTAATCAACCGTCCGGTGGCTGACGCTGTTGCTCTAGCTGCCAAAGAAGAGAACATTGCTGAGCCGCCTACTCTTCTGCAACCTCGTGTGTGTGAACCTCAAAGGCCGAGAGATTCGTATTACCCGCTGTCTCTGGTTCCGGGCCAATTTTGTGAGAAGTTCTACAACTATTCTGCACTGGAATTGCGGTATGTCTCCTTAAAGTGAAAACGTTAAAAATTAATTTTTGAGTTTTAATTTCTACATATCCCTATACAGACATGTACCCCTAAACACTATTATGGAACTTCCATTCAATTTGTGGCAACATAATGAGCAGGAAAATAACAGCTCCGATACGGATTCTGCTACTGAAAGTGTTGATAATAAGGTTGAGCTGGAAGTTTCGAGCACAACCACAACAAAACGACAAAGCAAACGTTGTGCTCGCCTAAGTCGTCCCTTTGAAAGCAATAGTTGTGATGAGTTCAAAATACCACCTGTACCAGGCGCGTCGACATCAGCGAGAAACTCGATATGTTTATCTTCTTCTGATGAATCTTCGTCCGAAAGTGTAAGTTTAACATTTAGACTAGGCTTTGTTAGATGAAATTAACTAACTAAAATTGTTTCATGTCGGCAGGATTCAGATTCTTCTTCATCATCATCATCGTCCTCTGAAGAATTCTCGGAAGACGAGGATTCTCCTACCACATGTGCTGTTTGTCTTCGCCCGCATAATCGGAATATGAATGACATACCGGAATTGTTTGTGAATTGCTATACATGCAGGCGAAAAGGTATGTATATAAGCAAACGCAATTTTATAAATATATAGATATGTACATATACAATTAAAATTAGAATGTCTAATATATGAAATATTTGTTTTTCAGTTCACCCCAGCTGTATTGAAATGCCTCGGAGAATGGTTCTACGCGTCCGTAATTACAATTGGCAATGCGCTGATTGCAAGTGCTGTATCAAATGCAAGCAAAAACAGGACGAAAATAAAATGTTATATTGTGAACAATGTGATCGCGGTTTTCATATATATTGTCTTGGAATAAAGTCAGTGCCTGATGGTAAGGAGACTCTCCCATATTTTAAAGTACTACTGAAAAGTACTTTTACCCTTTTTAGTATAAACATTCAAACATTTTTTCTCATTTTGTTATATGTAGTTCGTGGTATAAGCATAAATGTATATGAAATCGATATATGTGGGGACATAATTCCAATATCCCTTTAATAGTTTTGCACAATATTTTAATTTATAAATTCAATTTATGTTTGTTTACTATGCCCTGTCTTTCGGCCTTCAGGCTTTTAACTACATTCCATTATTAAAGAACAAACTTCAATTCTAAATATAGCAGCTTTAATATAACAGGAAAATGATATTGGACTACACAATATCCCTTCACAGTACAGAAGGTAGTTGATGAATGTTTATCACACATTTAATTTATTGTAATCGGACCAAATAATACAAAAGCTACGTTGTATATACTATACGTACAGAATTGCTCTAACTCTCAAAGAACAATTATTTCCAAATATAATTTAATATATACATTTGTCCAAATCTCTTTAATTGCTCTAATAATGCACTAAGGTAACACCAAAGAAAATTTCTAGGAATTTCAGGAGACTGGTTAAAACTACATATTTATGTATAAGAAAACGCTACTTGAATAAATTTCATTATTAATACATGTTTCCCATTTTCTAGGCCGCTGGAGTTGCAATCGTTGCAGTATTTGTATGCGATGTGGGTCTAATACACCGGAAGGTATACCATCCTATCATCATATAATTAATTCCCCCAACGGAGAACAAAGTAAACAAAACCGGCATAAAAGGGTGAAGTGGGTCAATGAATATCGTATGGATCCTGTTACAAAAGTTAAAGAACATACCTCTATGCTATGTGTTCCGTGTGCAAAAATGAAATCTGCCAAGAGAAATCAAGCGTCGCTTCACAACCCTAGTTCGAATGAAGTCGTCACCTCTCCAGGTGCATATAGTGATTCATCTAGTTCACCTGGTGTTGTATCTCTAGCAACAACAACATTGCCCACGGATTCAGCGTACACTGAAAACACAAAAGAAGACACTGCACACAACACAGGCCCTAGCGGGAAACTAGGTGAGGAGTCCTCTCGTTCGGAGAAAAATGATTGTGGCATGCTTCTGGCAAACTCTAAAAATGCCCCACCGCCTGTAGTTGCCTGAGTGGGGGTTATACGGTGGCACTTCCCAAAACTGCAGCCACCAAATCTATCACATTGTTCTTCAACGAATTTATAGCTGATTAGCTCTAATAATAAAAAGTATGAAGAGCGGAATTTAGGCAACAGAATATAGTTTTTACTTTAATATATTTATGTATTTTTTATTTTATGCAAATTAAAAATGGAAAAGTGCATTTATAAACATTACCGATTGGTTTGTTTTGTGGAAAGAAAGTATATATGTATGTTCAGAACACATTTTGACTGATCTGTACGAATAGTTTTCCTGATCCCCATTATTGTAAATTAAGTCACACAAATTAAGTTTAATAAAATATAATAGTTCTTTCTAACATACCAAGTTGTCATTTAAATGTATTTTGTATAGATAATTTAGATGTATATCATTATTTTCTAAAATGAATACATTACGACGTTTGGGATCTGCAAAAATAGAGTCAATTATTTTTGAAACTCCACCTTTTTCACTAGTTATTGAAAATATTTCAATTGCAATTCGATAGTTTCATTTGCAGCTCATAACAATTAAGTTACAATTCAAGAATTCCATTGATAATTCACAACACTTCAGCTGTAATTCGATAGTTGTATTTGTAATTCATTTACATTAGAACCTTTTACCGGGTTAACCTACTCTATGAGGATTTATTTGAAATGTATACAATGGAATTGAAAGTATATACAGTATGTATGTTCAGAACACATTTTTTATTTTATGCAAATTAAAAATGGAAAAGTGCATTTATAAACATTACCGATTGGTTTGTTTTGTGGAAAGAAAGTATATATGTATGTTCAGAACACATTTTGACTGACCTGTACGAATAGTTTTCCTGATCCTCATTATTGTAAATTAAGTCACACGAATTAAATTTAATTCGTATATCATTATTTTCTAAAATGAATACATTACGACGGTTGGGATCTGCAAAACTAGAGTCAATTATTTTTGAAACTCCACCTTTTTCACTAGTTATTGAAAATATTTCAATTGCAGTTCGAGAGTTTCATTTGCAGCTCACAACAATTAGGTTGCAATTCAAGAATTCCATTGATAATTCACAACATTTCAGCTGTAATTCGATAGTTGTATTTGTAATTCATTTACATTAGAATTTTTATCTGTCGCTGTTGTCTCATGTAAAATATAGACAAAGTTATCGAAAAAATAACTATTTTTAATAACTGAACTATCTATAGAGGACAAATCTGTCGCATTGTAACGACCGATTTGTCGTATAAATACGTATAAATTCGACAACGTCAACGGTAATAAGCTGATTAAAGGGTAACTTCTGGTAATGTGGACCACTCCCATATATTAGAATATACTTGACATATGGCATCGCCGCCTTGATATATGTTTTTCAAATTAGTAAAAACAAAACATAAATATGATAATGAATACCTAACTGCAATATTGAAAATTTAATTAAATTCTTATTGTAAATATGCTATTTGAACATTTTTAGCAGAAGAGTCGAACACTTTCTTGTTCTTAATTTTAAAAAATTCGTCTGGTTCTATATTTTCTACAACAAAAATATACATTTGGATGTAATAACAATCTGTTAATTTGGAATATAGAGCAAGTGATGTAAATGTGGTATATCCATTTGTTTTTGGAGTGTCGAACTTGTATTATTTATCCGATTAAACTGAAATTTAACCATTAACATGCTACGTGTGTTGTACATTAAGGAATCTATAATAAATATTATACCCATTTTTAAGAGATTTTTTGCAAATATTTATAATTCCATAAAAGATGATTCCAGAAAATGTGCAGGTAATGTGGTATACCATATGATGTTAATGTGGTATAGTAAATTTCCTTTTTTAATTGATTGTCTATTTTAATTTATTGATTTTAATGAATGTGAATTAGATCGAGATTCACGTCTGTTAACATTTTTAACGGATACGTTGAATGGAACACTTTTTTATTATATAATCATGCCAAGGCATAGCAGTACAAAATCTTTTAAAATACTTGAAACTGAGGTTTGCATGCTTATAACTCGCGAAATATGAACATATTGCATATAATTTAAATTCATTCCTATAAAATGAAGTCTTCTTGTCAAAATCTTAAAATATTGGTAATAAATATAAAGTTGGCTGAAGCTGTGATGGTGGTAATGTAGAAAAATGGGCAAAAAAGGGTTGAAGCCGACGTGTTTTTTTGTGTTCGTTCCTGATTTGTGGCTAAACTACACAACGCAGGCATATGTGATCAGTGACTATGTTGTAGAATACTCCATGGACAATATTGTTCTAATATATGACTTTTCGATAGAATCACTGCATCCACCCAAAACGTATGCTGACATTTTGAATCCGGATTTTCGGTGTTTTTTGAATTTTTCTTATTATCAAGACGTGCAACCAGATAATGGACTAAACTGATTATAGGATTGTAGAACTCGTGATTTTGCTTCGTTTAGTGTATTTCTCATGAATGTGCTCACCGTAGCTTATTTGCAATTGAGTTCCAAAGATGAACATTTGGTGCGTAAATTTTTATAAAAAAACTGTTTTTTGAGTCTAAATTTTAGAAGGTCCACTCAAATGCCGTTGAACCCCGCGTGATTTTAGCTTTTTTACGTCCGAATCTAATGAGGCCAGCTATGTTCAATTCCGCCCAATAAAACGGCGAATGTAGGTGTACTTTTGTGTATTTTCATAGGAGATTACTGAAGTCTGATGCCCATAAATATATATATATATATATATATGTTTCGCCATTTTTAACGTTAAAACTCTAATTAGATGAGTCTACCGATATTTTACAATCATTTAAAAGAACTTGCAGAAGAAAGCGTCGAATATTTTAGAAGATTAAGTCATAACCGTATTTCCTTAACAATACTAAAAAAATCGAAAATTCAAAAAACGTTTCGTTTTAATTAAAAGATTAATATATTTTATTTTCAGATATCTTCATGCTTCTATTTGTTTTTCGCGACAATTGAATTGTAATTCAATGTGATTTGACAAGTATGTAAAGAAAACAAATGTCTTTAACCATTTGTGAAAAAATTCGCGAATTACAACAAATAGGAATTCATTTAATTTATATTTGTAATACGATGTTTAAAATCGCTATAACTTTTGTGCGCAGCATCCGAATTTGTGACCGCGAACAGATTTCGAATCAGCATATTTTTCTTAACCTATGTATAGAAAATAATGAATGTGCTCGCAAAAAAATTGTATTTTCCATATCTACTATGTTATTGAGACAATGTCTTTTTATTTAATAACGCTGTTATACCGACAATACCAAAAAAGAAAATGGTAGTTCACATTACCGGACGTTCCTCATAGGAGATTAGGGTTTGCATAGTAAAGTTTACTAGGGTTTGCATAGTATATATATATATAGCCATTTTTAACGTCGAAACTCTAATTAGATGAATCTACCGATATTTAACAATCATTTAAAAGAATTTGCAGAAGAAAGCGTCGAATATTTTAGAAGATTAAGGCATAACCGTATTTCCTTAATAATACTAAAAAAACGTTGACAATTTTCACGAGGTCCATACGAGGTCGATCTACAAAATCAGAACATTCTCAGCCTTTGCATAGTATATATATATAGCCATTTTTAACGTCGAAACTCTAATTAGATGAATCTACCGATATTTAACAATCATTTAAAAGAATTTGCAGAACAAACATCGATTTTTCGAAGATTAAGGCATAACCGTATTTCCTTATTAAATTTAAAAAACGAAAAATTTTCACGAGGTCCATACGAGGTCGATCTACAAAATCAGAACATTCTCAGCCTTATTCTGGACATGAATTCCTCGTGAAATTGTTTCCTCTTCCCTTTAAAGTTATTCTGTACAACAACTCACATCGATTTTTCGTATTTTCGCTTTCCCCTTATTCTGAATGAAATTTAAAAGCGAAAAATTCGTTATGGGGAAAAATTAGTAGTTCCCAATATGCGTGATGAGCTTCTTAACCAACGTCGAAATGCGTGGCATAATAGTGAGAGCGTAGGTTCAACTTCTGATTTTCCCTTTCATTTCAAAACTTCGATCATTAAGCTCGGCTCGACAAAGAAAAAGTAAATCAAATCATACAAGGATCATTGCCCTTACAGTCAAAACTCAAACAAAAATTATGGAAGAAAAGCAATAAAGCTACAAAATATTTTTTTTCAAATATATCGTCTGCCTGATTTGCGCGATGAGCCACTTATCATTTCTTAGAAAATATAGACATTACAATTATTTATATCCATGAGAAAGAAAAACAATAAAGCTAAAAAAGATTGTTTTTATATCCTCCACCATAGTATGGAGGGTATATTAATTTTGTCATTCCGTTTGTAACTCATCGAAATATTCATTTCCGACCCTATTAAGTATATATATTCTTGATCAGGGTGAAATTCTAAGACGATCTAGCCCTGTCCGTCCGTCTGTTGTAATCACGCTATCTTCTGAAGGAATTGAGATAGGGTGCTGAAATTTTGCATAGGGTTGTCTTTTGTCTGCAGGCAGGTCAAGTTCGAAGATGGGATATATCGGTCCACGCTTAGGCATAGCTCCCATAAAAGGGTACCCGCCAAATTTCGATATTTTGGGGTTCTTGAGCGCGTTTTTCAGCCGAATTCGCTGAAATGTGCTACATTGAGTTCTTATTGGGTACTAAATGTCTCCACAAAAAATTATAAATATAGGTCCACTTTTAACGGTACCTCCCAATTTTCAGTATTTTGGGGGTTTTGATCGTATTTTTCCGCCGAATTAGCTGTTATTTAGTATTTTGAGTTCATAATAGGTACCAAATCTCTCCACAAAAAATTATGAATATAGGTCCATTTTTTCGGATTGCCCCCATATAAGCGTACCCCCAATTTTCAGTATTTTGGGGTTCTTGAGCGCGTTTTTCAACCGAATTTGCTGCAATTTGGTATTTTGTAGTCGTATATGGTAACAAATCACTCTACCAAAAATT